GCCTCCTTGCAAGAACAGACTGTATTTCAATTATCTTAGAGTACAGACAAAGAGGAGAGGAACAAAGCTTTTCACAAAGACTCTCTCCTCATAACTAAACCAGCATACTAAAAATGGATTGTGGATGTTGGAAAAGAAATGGCCAGGTTAATGTACAGCTCAGAAATGCTTGGGACATTGGTCTGTCCGAGGAATTGCAGATTTCAAACAGGGCTTTGCAAGTGTTTCCTTCACTTGGGTGGGTACCAGATTGGTAAAAGAGAAGCTAGAAAACAGAAAATGAAGCATGAGGCCAGAAGGAAAGCTAGGATGGAAGTGCAGTGGCAGGAGCTCTTTAACACAGCAAGGGTATGGGGACAAAGCGAGCTGGAGGTTGAGCTTGTTATCTCCATTAGTGTTAATTACTAAATTAATGTTTTGCCTGAGAGAACCTCACTCTTTTCTTTAAATTAACCTCAGTTGAAAGTTATAAAAGACAAAGAGATCTACAGAATATGCCTCTTCTCCTCTCAATAACACTTCCCTCTGCTCCAGCACACTGCTAAAACAAGAACAGTGTCCCAGCAGCACCTCAGATATTGTCCTTGCTGCTGGCAGGTAACATCACAAACATGCTCTTTTCCACTTTTAACCAGCTATTTTGCACTTCTTTACCTCACTTCCTTTATTATAAAAGGCATATTTAAGCTCAACCACACCTTTGTCTTGCTCCCAACTTAAAGGCATTGTCTATTGACTTGTCTTTTGCATGATTTCAAAGTGATTTCATTAAATACCCAGGAAAATATTTCTGAAGGTGTCTCTTCCCTATTTGGATACATAGGACAAGATGACAACTCTAATTTCTTCATAACTTTTATAGAAGTCAGAACCCAACAATAAATGTCACAAGAAAGGATTTCCTGAGATACAGGGAGATTCTTCAGCTATCATGTAACAACTTTCCACTTTCCTATGGAAGCATGAACAATTATTTTTCAAGGGAATAAACACCGTTAAAGATGAACCAAACCAAAAGGATTATTTATATATTTAGGTTGGCATCTAATCTCAGAGAGTACAGCCATAATTCATCAGGTAACCCCATCCTCCTATCACAATAACTCAACTGCTTCATTGTGTGTTCTCTCCCTGCTGGAAAATACAATTTCCTAGGCTTTGGCTCTCTTGCATCTCATTTATTTCACATTCACTCAGTCACTTCAACAACTGTTTACAGCAAAAAAATGGGTGTAACAGTGATCACAGAGATTATTAATGGTTTGGGCTTTTTTTTCTGAAGGACAAGCTAATGGCATTTAAGCATTAGGAATATATTAAATTCACTGAAAATGTTCCATTCTTGACAATTTATGAAAATCTGCTTGAAACAAAGGTGTGCATGTAGTTCTTGAGTGTGCTGGGGAATGTTCCTGTCCCATCTCTGCCATGGAACCACCACTCCCCACAAGAGATGTGCTCTCAGAAAGTGCTCAGCTGACAAGGATATGGGAAAAAAAACCCATCAAATTCCTTAACTTTTCTGTCAAATTTGATTAAAATCCATTACTGAAAAGCCTGGGCACATGCTCTTTCAAACATTTGGCCTTGTAGAAGATGAACTCATCAGAAACACCTCGCAGGTATTTTGAGCTAAATTGAGGATGTAATTAGAAAGAAGGGGGAAAAATGAAACAAAGGAAAAAAAAAGGGAGTGGGTGCAAAAAACCAAACAACCTTTCTTCCTGTGCTGACAGTGCCATAAAGCCCAACTACAGATACTGCAACCATTTCAAAGGCAGGAAAGGCTGAGGCCTTCACTGTGCTGTCCACTGGCTTTGAAGTGCCGAAAGCAGCTGCTCCCAGCAGATAGGAACTCTGGTGCTGCTGGAGTTATTTTTTTTCTTCAAAATATACTTTCAAATCTAACAGCTGCAAGTAGAACAAAGTTGAGCTAAAGTATATTTAAAGAAGAAGAAAAAAAAAAAAACCCCACCAGTTTCTCTCTGAGACTGTTCTCAGTGGATACTTCAAAAGCAAGTGGCACCGAATCAGATGAAGCTGGAACCAGGAGGGACATGTGACAGCTGAAACCAAATACTGCAGGATCCAAAAGTTCCTTTTTGCTTTATTAATGGATTTGAGTGCATTTGAAAAGCTAACAAAATGTTAACTGCATTAATTGTTTTTTTTATTAACTTTTCATTGTTTTCTTCCAAATTATTTTTGAAGTAAAAGACAAAGATAAATAAATATCAATGTATCAGGTTATTTGTTGTCATAAATATCAGATAAATATCAATATATCAGTATGTCTAATCTACAGGCACAGCAATCTTTCAGCCCCCACAATGAACAGCCCACGTTCACACCAATAATTGTTTTGAAATCAGTATACAAGCAGAGTCCTGTGACATCAACCACTCAGGTAAAGCAGAGAAGTGAAACCACTGTTCCAAGTGTCTTCCAAAATGTCTCTCAGATTGGAGAACTGGGTAACACATCAGTTAATTTGGTCCTTTATAAACAATCTGATTAAAATCATGGTCAACTGAATTGCCCAGGTTGCCATCAGTGCTACCCCTGCTGCTCACCATGACAGCCAACAAAAAATAAATCCGTAGGGCAATTTCCCTTCTAGGTCTAAATTTCATTTGACAATTAGATTCAGACACTCGAGGCACAACATCTCAAAGCAATCACTACATTTCTCAGGTAGCTGAAATACCCTGTTTTTTGGTTGGGTGTCTATTTCCACCTGGAAGTCTGCTGGAGCCCTGTCAAAATGTATCCCCACTTCGAATTCACTGCTCTATTTAAACACTTTCAATCTGTTCCTAGCCAAGTAACAACCAAGGAAATATGCAGTAAAAGAAGGCAAGGAAAAGTCTGCTTTAAAAATGGCTTAGAAGCTCTGAAGCATAAATAGAGAGCAGTGCAGAGAAACAGAAGTTGGAAGTACTGAAAGGAAATTTTAAGAGTGGAAGAACTGAGCTCATCCTGCTCCGTGGTGGGGCAGGAGGGGCTTTGTGCTTTCCAAAAGAACCTCATTCCCAGTGATAACCCCCTGCAATCTGCAGGAAGGGGCACGTATTCTTCATGCTCACCAGCTTTCAAAGGACATTCCAGATGAAGTACAAAGAGAAATAATTTTTTTAAAAGGGCATAAACAGGATTCCACTGAAAATTCTTCTGAGGCTCTCATTGTTTAGCTGTTTAGCCTTGAAACCCTTGGGTTCCAGTGATGTCTCATAAAGCTTAGCTGTTCTTTCTTACAGTAAAAGCAGCTATCCTAAATAAAATAAATGGGAAACACTAAACATCTCAGTGAAAAATGCTTTCACTGATGTTTACCACAATATCAACATTGTTATAGAATAGATTCACCAAATAAATGTTTAACTCTCATATTAATTTCTTGCTTTGTGCGTTTTTTTGACACAGTCTCTGGAATGTCTGAATATAAGAAGACACATAAAATTAAACCATGACAATATGAGACATTATAATTTGCCTTTAGTGTGCAAAGTTAGCAAAAAATTTTAGCCAAGGCTTGGTGGATGTTACCATAAATAGTAAAAAAATAAATTAGCACTTGTAGGTAGGAACAGGAATGTTGTAACTCCTGATACACTGCAGGTTAGCATTTATCTCTACAGATTAATATCTGGGATGGGAAAATGGGAATAAAATCTTTGAAAAATTGCTTACTTTGGACTTTAAAGATGCATTATAAATTATGAGAACTTATTAAAGAAAAAAGTGAGCCAACTGTATCACTAAAATGATGTGAAAGTATGATTAAATAAAATATTTGGGTTTGAGGCAGATGTCCCATAGCCCTCCTTTCAGTGCGTCCCTGACACACCAAACTTCCTCACCTTTCCTGCACGAGTCTCCAGTATCTCTGACTATTTCTGAATCACTAAATGCAGGAATCAGCATAAATAACATCCCCCAGTTAAGCTGAACACCTGTGAGATGTCCCTCACCCTTCCAGAGGCCAATGTGTCACCTCTGTCAGGTGGCAGCACAAGTGGTGACGTTGACAGTTCTGAGCGAGGACAGGGAAAATGCTTTGATCTGACCCAACAAACTCCCTTCTGTTCCAAGAGCCACACACAAAACACACCATTGTTCCTCCCCAGCACAGAGCAGGGGTCTCTCAACACCTACCAAAGTGATCTTGTTCCTTAATTCCCTGAAAAAGCCCTTTCCAGATGGACCAGAGCAGGCCTGGCACCAAAGCCAACCACAGCGTTTTATCCTCTCACGGCACAGAAGATAAACAGAAATGAAACCACATTTCCCTGCTGGAAATGCAAGCTTAGATCCACACAAGAACAGTGATAAGAGAGAACTTGCATGGATTAACCACCTCATTCCTACAAAGTACTAAAAACCCCCTTTCAATCCTTCAGCAGGTGTTACCAACAAGTGCCACTTCAGTTTTGTCACCAAGTCCCAGCTCACACCAGAGTCTGGTGGTGCAGCTCCTTAGCTCCCAAGTCTGTATCATGCAATAATTTCTCCTCTTCTGCTTTTCCCCCTTTTACATTTCACAGCACTGCTGAACAAAACTTTCTTGTCTCCACCCAAGCGTTTCCTGAGTATTTCCCAACCCTGAAATTACATTACAAAGAAGAAAATCACCATCAGTGGGCCAAAACAAGCATTCACACCGAACACTCCCCGTGTCAAAAATGATAAAAAGAACAAACCGCTGTTTCTTGACAAGAAGAGAAACAGATAATGCATGAAATAATTGAACCTGGTGATTATGAAAATAGGTGTTGCCACCTGTAAGCCTGGGAAACAATTTGAAAGAGTCGGAGGTACAAAGGATTGTGAAGAGGAAAGAAAAAGTATTTTCTGTGTAGGTTCTCCCCCCTCCACCCCCATGACAAAACTCTGCATATCTAGAAATTGTGTTTTTATAGGAAGGACAGCAACACACAGTGACCTATAGCTGCAGGAAGGGGTGTTTTCTCCCCTCCACCTGGAGGAGCAAAGCAACTGACCTGTTGTTCATATCTTTTCTTGATCTCATCCAACTGCCAAGAGAATTCTTGGGCTTGCTTTTCCCGGAGCAATTTTGATCTGCTCAGATCTGCTTCAACCTCTGCTATCTACATGGGAAAAGAAAGGGAATATTTAATTTATTTTTTTTTTTAAAAGGCATAGCTTGAAGTGTTCTGACATTTCTACAGTTGTTTGTAAACCATCAAAGAGGAGAATATCACTTGTTGGGAATGATAACAACACCATTTGTATGTGGTGAAAATGAATATTCAGTCTCTACAGGATTATTAGTGACTCAAGGACATAGTGATCACTGTTATGCCACTCCCTAATTACAAAGGATTGGCTCAGTTTTTCACTCCACAGTGCTGAATATCCCATTGAAATTAAGTGAATATTTTCTCTAGACATATTTAAGACTCAAATATATTTCACTTAAAAATACAGTGCCTGTGGAAATTCAAGGGAAATCATGTGCGAGTCAGAGCATAAACTACACATTTAAAGCAAGTTTACATTAAATCAGAAAATAACTTTAAATAACTTAAAAGAGAATTATTTGGCTGCAAGTTAAGTCCTCTGAAGATAGTCATCGCCTATGAATAATGAGTCCCACAGATTCCAGCACGCAGCATCAAGGAAGCAATTTCACAACTCAATTAACAAAGGCTTTTGTATCAAAAGCACAACTGTTAGCTGTACATCAGGCATGTTTCCAAGGGAATATATATAAATATATATATGTAACTCTGCTGCAGTGCACACTCATCAATGACTTTTAGATCGAGATCCCAACAGAAGCATTGAATAAACGGTGTCCCTAAAAAGAAAAAAAGAAGTGGAGGGGTTTGAAGGACCACAAGCCCATCTGCTCCACAAAAAGAAGAAATCCATGAATTTCTGAACCACAAGCCAAAATCCTGCTTGGCCTAAGGGAGTGCTCAGTGTTCAACAGATGTCTGTGCCAATTGGCCTGGACATCACTCCCCAGCCAGGAAGGAGGAGAAAAGGCAGCACTCGGAGTGGGAAAAGAATTTTATTGCAGAGTACTCCAGCAGGAAAGGAAGGGACTGAAGTAGGAGCAGTTGGCCAAATAGAAAGTGGAAAAAGAGAGCAGTGAGGAAGCAGCTCCTGAACCTCACTGCTACTATCTGCCATTAAGAAAAGGGACTGCAAACAATGTTTTATGAATAATTTTCTTCCGGCTCCAAACTTACTCAAATTGCATGTCTATGGCTATATTTCACTCAGGTCAATAAAACCCAGAAAAATAACAGCTCTTGTTACTGCACTAAAGGAGGGTTTTTTTAAAAGAGAATAAAACATTCTAAAAAGTGAAATGGTAAAACCATATGCAAAGATGCTTTAAATCTACTGGCTTCTGCAGTTTGTTCATTAGGTCACGTTCATCTATTTCCAACAACTGCAACAAAAGCTCTTGATCATTATTTGCCAAACCCAGGAAGCCCCAGACCTACAATACCATGACACAGTCTATGTATTATTTCTCTTTTTTCAGTTACTACTGGAAAAAATGCAGATTTTGCAGTTAAACACGTGCCACTCACCCACGAGTGGACATCAGGTGACTCTTAATAATCACAAGCTTGACAAAATAGGAAGCAGATGGCCAAATAAATGATATTATCATAGAGTCAAACTAAAGAATCAAATATTGATTGCAACAGCTGATAATGACCCCATCCTACTTATCTCCATAATTAACTTTATCTCACACAAAAAATGGGTTTAAAGCCCAGTATTCCTAATGTAGATAAAAGGACGGCGTTGCTATGGCTACTGCAGTTGTTCTGTAAGTAATACATCCAACCTCTCCACAAAACATGGAATTTTCCAGCATGTTTCAATGAACTGGGGGATTTATCTAAGAGTATGTGGATGCAGAGGAATGAGAAAGGCCAGAGCCATGAAGAGAGGTTCAGCAGTGCTCCTCTGATGTATTTCCTTGGACCTTGGCTCCTGTAGAACAGAACCACTCAGCTGTACAATATCATTCAATATTTCTAGATTTTAGCACCCACGCAGGGAAACCTCTGGCTGATTCATGGAGTACAGCAAAATGGATTTGCAGAATTTCCCAGAATGCAGCAATATTCTGAAAGAAATTTACTGACATTTTAAAATTACATTTGACTATCTTTTCCAAATTCTTTTGCACTTCCTTATGTTTTGGATTGGTTTTCTTTGCTGAAGGTTTTTTAAGTGAATGAAATGATTATTAGCCTTTCTAGAATTAGACAACATTCCTTTTGGAGCAGAATTAGGCTATTATTTTAAGTCATCATGAAGAAATTGCAGGAGGGTCACACAGTACAGAAAATGTCAGATTAAAATTGTAGGATTTGTTGCATTGCCCTTGTAGGTCTGGTTTGCTGAACACATCTTGCTTTTATAAGTTTGTCCTTGCTTCTTTTTTAATTTCCAAATTCTATTATTCGCTGTCTGTGTGGGTCTTAAAAATATCAGCAGTGAAGATTTTCAAAAACTTTGAGAACAACAAAAAGGGAATTTCCTCAGTCCTGAGGCAGCACTCAGCCACCCATTCCAGTCCCAGCCTGCAGCACCCTCCTGCCAGCAGTGAGGTTTGGTCAAGGAAGGTGAGGTTGGAACTTGTAATCCAGAATTACAAGTTGGAGTTCCATCTGGAGATCTCAACCACACGAGGAATTAAGGAAATATCCCTTCTTTCCCCCTTCTTTTTGGTCACCTATTGCTTGTTCCTCATTTCACTCCTTGGGCTGCTTTTATAAACTCCCAGGAGAACATTTTAACTACTGCTTGCTCTGTAAGAAATTTAAGCCAGTAAAATCCCTGATTTTCGGGAGAGAAAAGTGGATTTTTCCATCCTCTGCACATGACTGCCAGCAGCCACCATGGCTCTGCCCCTGTTTGGGCTCAAACTGATTACAGGAGCTCATTAAGGGAGGACAGAGTCGCTGGGAAAAGAGTAGGAAGAGACACATTTAAGTGGGAAATGACAAGCGTTGTTCCATAGGGTGTATAAACTAACACTTTATACTCTCACTCCTGAAAAATCCCTAATCAGTATCATAACTGCAGAAATCTTTATAACAATGACAATTCTGGCTTTGTCAGAAAGATGAAACACCCGCCACCATCCCTTTCTGACTCGCTGCAAAGACACTACATTGTGAGAGATTTTGATGTAGCACTCTCAAGTGGAGCATGTTTCTGGCATTATAAGATCAGAATCCGCTATCCCACTGCGCCAGAGTTTCAGAAAGGCTGGCATTGTGACCTCCTCACCCGCTGTTTCATTTCAGCAGAGTCTTTCTCTGAGTTCAGCTCCACCTGCCGCTTAAACTCCTCCAGGGCAGCGCCTGCCTGCTGGGCCTGCAGCCTCTGTACCTCCGTCACCCGCCTCAGCTGCTCCTCCTTCTCCCTAGAAAGTCACAGAAAATTTTCAGAGTTCAAGTATCAAATAAAAGAACAAGTGTGCTGGTGTAAAAGAGAGGCCTTTAACCCGATCAGTTTAAAATAGTATTCAGATTTCAATTTCCTGTCCCAGCTTCTGCCCAACTTCCCTTTGCAGGGCTTTGAAGAAGGCGATGGAAGGCCGGAGTTATTTTCGCTTTCTCCGATTGAATTTCACACGCCCAAACACAGCGTCCACAGCTCACAACAAAACCTCCACCTTCAAAGTCTCTCTCCACTTCAATGGCTCTCTACCCACTGTGGAACCCCCTTTATTAATCTCATCTAATTAATAAAATTTAATAATAGTAATTATACATAAATAATAACAAGTTGGATTTCATTAAATTAGATTTAACACCTCCCAATGCTTAAACTCTTTTTAGCATGATTGCCTTTCCATATTTAAAAAAAAAACAAACAAAAAAACCCTCAAAAAATAAAAACAAACAAGAAAATTATCCCAGCGCCATCTTCACTCAGACAAGGTGCAGGATTATTCCCTGCTTGTCATAAATCAAAATGCAAAGCAGGGTAATATGTGACATGTGGTTCTTTCTAAATCTATTAGAAAGCCATAATGCTGTGATGTCTATTCAGCCTTTACAGTACTGACAGATGTTAAATCTCTGTGCAAAGATATTTCATATCAACAGCCTGCACTATTTGACATATTAAACCTGATACATCTATAGAAATCAGGCTGGGTTTCTTCAGGCTGGGTGGTAGATCAATAGTAATGATTCTGTAATATTTTATGTACATTCACACATACACAGACACATGAAAAGACAGAGACATTCAGCATATTGACACAAAACAGACAAAAAATTGGGTAACTTTGAAGTATTTCAGAAATTTTGATGCAAGTCCTCAAATATTACTAACTTTTATTAACTTGTCAGTGGTTTTGTTATGAACTTTTTGTGACACGTTCCTATTCCCACAGGTCAGCAGAGCTGCCTGACTTTGTGTTCACACACTGGAGAACACGATGGTGGCATCGAGGGACAAAGCTGGCTCCACCCATGGCTTGTAATAGAAGACACATTCAAACAGACCTGGGGCTGACATTTTCATTTTCCAGGCAGAGGAAGTACCTCACGATAAATTTCCCATTTTGACAGAAATTATTTCCATATAAAACAAAGAATCTGACACATAGAAGGCGGAAAAGCCCAGCTCATTCATCTCGTCTGTCACCTTGCCAGCACTGGAGGAGCTGCAGCACTGAGAGAGCCTTTCAGAAAGGTCAGGAAGCTGCCAAGCCCAAAGTTACAGTATTCACATCCTCTTCTGTGGTTTGCAGACCAGACTTTGACAATAGGACAAAGAACATAATCCTACATCTTCACAAAGTGGCTGTTTGCAGCGCAGGAGAGCAGGGTAATTCCATTAGCAAAGAGATCAAAGAAATGCCACAAGCCCTGAGTCAGTACATTGCTGTTTCCTTCATGATGCATATTTAAAAAAAAAAAAAAAGTAAAGAAATTGTTTTGGTACCTCACTCACAGTTGATGGAATAATTGAGAATAGGGAGACTGCTCTTCTCCTTACATAAAAAGGAAAATACCTCTCTTCCCCAGCAGAAACAAAATCCTGTATCACAATTATGGTGATGATTGTTTTGGGGTTTAGAAGACCTGTGCAAATTATCTTCAAATTTTCTAGAGAGCATCCATCACCCCTCCAGATATGCTTTGTTTCTACAGCCTCATTGATTCCATTTCCTACACTCCTGTGAGGGGGAAGCACATCTGTGTTAATCTAAGCCACCACATTCCCCACTCATGAGACAATAAAAATTACTCGGCAAAAAAAAAATCACTACCAAAATCAACATTTCCTTCCCCATCCAAATTCAAACAGCAAAATTTTAATATTTAAATTCCTTCTGCAGAGGATCCAAAAGATCCAAATTCCAAGCACAGAACTCCTTCAGGATTCCTCAGAATGGACACACCAATGACACCTCCATAGCATCAAAATGTCTGATGGGTCAGTTATCCATCTGCTCCTGCTGTTTGGCTCAGTTATCCCCCAAATCCCACATTCCAGGGAGCTGCTGAACACAGATATTCTTTATTTTACAGCTGCTGGACACTGAATTACATTAAGCACATCACTGCTCTCTCCCACAACACAATCTACCTCAGAAAGAAGAATATGTAAGAGCTCTGCCCACATTTGTTACCTTGGAGGTGGGAAAGCATCCACTTCTCCTCCCAAAGATCCATAAATCAGCAATGGGCCCTGGATAACAAATCTCTCTCCCTGCAAAATACACCTAATAATTCCACTCCACACTGGAAGCAAAACCAAAAATCAAAGCTTTTTCAAACACATCCACACTGCCAAGTGTCACAAGACACTGGGACAACAGCCTTGGTCCAGTCAGATGGAAACACAACAAATCTAAACATAAAAGGACAAGACATTGGTCCTCGTGTTCTTAGTGAGGCTCCAAATTTATGCATCTTCTTCCTTAGGAAGATATTTTTATTTTGAAATATCATGATGTAAACTTCTAGGAATGTGGTTTTATGTACCTTCCTTTCTTTTAAGGACTTAATCCCATGAATAAATGCAACATCTCATTATCAGCAGGAAAAAAACTTCATTTTTAAGGATGTGAGAGCCAGCACTCTCTATTTTTTTGTGCAGTTCAGATTTGTACTGAAGCTTAGAAAACCTGTACAACAATGGCCCTCGGTTCACAAATATAAGAAAAGCTTCACTTTTTTTCCCAAGACACCAAGCAATGTGCCTTGCATGAAGCACTAAAATATTCACTTTGAAGATTATTTTTTTCAGCTGGACTAGTTGTGGGGCCCAATACAATACAATTACATCATTTAAATCCCCTAAAGCTCAGCCAGCCTGAATATAAAAACAGGGTGAATTTACTCTTTGCCCCCAATTTAAAAAGCAAAAATTCCCTTTGTTTCAGTGTATAAAGAACATGGCAATGGAATTAGGAGTCCTACACGACCCAAACCATCTCAGGAAAAGTTGACTGTGAAGTCCAGAATTTCAATTTCAGAAATCAGCACCCTGAAGTGCACTGATAAATGGGAAATACAAACATCTTATGTGCTTCCTCTTCATGCTTCAACATAAATATTTGCCTTGCTCTGTAGAATGTCTTCCAAGAGGTAACAACTGAACACAGTGAGACTTTACAGCACTGCACTAATGAAATGTAGGGCAATTCAGGGCTTAACAGGAAAGGTTTATTAAATTGTTGGGGGAATCAGCACTTTCCTGGAGGGTTCCCAGTATTCTCTGAACAGCAGCAAACCTCAGCAGCAGCACAAGGAGCAGGAGATGCACCTGGCTGGGTCACGAAGTGCCAGCACACTCGGAACCCCCACGGCTGCATGGGGACAGAGTTCCACATCCCAGGAGCAAATCCACACCCAAGCTCCCTGTGTGCTGTTTAGAGAGATTTTCAGTGACATGGAAAATAGTAATAGACTGTGAAACTCCTCATGTTTTCTTATAAAATTATACCAGGCTTTAATAAACAAATTCAATTATATTCTTTTCCAGGTTTTCAAAACCTGCTGGCAGCACAGTCCATTGAATCCCAACTGTACTGGGGAACAGAAGCAGAAAAAGGAATTTCTATAAGGATAAATTTTGCCACTGAATAAGCTTCTGAAACTCAAATTCTGATGTGCTCCACAAGAGGGACAGGCTCCATCCCTTGTCTAAGTCTCTCCCAGGTTGTTATGACTCCGGGTTTATGCCTGGAGATAATCATGAATCCCAGAATATCTCGAGTTGGAAGGGACCCATACTGAGTCCAACTCCCCACTTCCCACAGGGCTCCTTAAAACTGAATCACAGGAGTGAGAGAAGGCTGAGGTATGGGAAAAGCAGAGTCATGGCTGAGCCTGCAGCCCCACTGACGATGCTGAGATCCTGCTGGGAAAGGCCACGCTCTCCTGCCATTCCCATATTACACACACTCTAATCCTATGTATTCACATTTGCTGTCCTCACACAAGTCTTTGCCCATTCTTTCCTCTCTTTCCTAAATATTAATACTTCTGAGGGAAAATTACTTTGCTTCCCACCAAACTGTGAACTATTCACTTGCTGGAAGGCAGCTAAACAAGTATATTTTTGTTTCTACACAGCCTTCCTTTTTATTTCATGGCATTAGAAATAAAAAATTGACTCTCAATAATATGTTCTGAAACAAAATCAGTTATCACCATTTATATAATTTCTTTAGATTCAAAAAACCCTAAAACAAACCCTATATAAACACTTTTCCAAGGGAGATCACAATTGCTTCCATAATACACAGCAAACTGTGTAGCTGAAAACACAAACTGCATCAAAACATACCCAAATTTCCCATGCAAAACAAAATTCAGGATTTTCACCTTAGTATCTTCAGTGTCTACAGATATGAGGACCCATCCAGTGTACAGACACAGACATTTGACTTTACATGGGGAAATTTAGCAGACCCACAATCCTGCTCCTGATTCCAGAGTTCTTCACATGGAGATGCTCCAGTACTGCCATGACTCCACAAAATTGCAGCAGTTTAATTAATTCATTTTATAGCCAAATGCAAGACCCATGCTACCAATTTTTAGTGCCACAACCAGTGAAAACCACTCCATGCAACAGCCCCTCTGACCTGACTTCTGGCATGGAGATATTGCACTACAAAATAATGTGTTCAATAAAATACCACATATGTGTAAGAGAAGGGGTTAATGGGTTAATTGTTCCAGAACAACACTTCAGTAGTAATGCCAAATCTGTGAAACACACAAAAAATCAATTTTGCTTTTCCTGCTGTGTTTTTAGCACAGTAATTTTGGGTCTAACTGCACCCATCCCAGCTGGTGCTGGAGCATCCCTCTGCACGGGCTGGGATTCCCACAAACAAGGAGGAACAAGCAGGGCTCCCCTCCCATGCCAAGCATATGGAATATGTGCAGA